TATATCACATTCTTCTGTTCCTTTCTCTCTGCTCATCTAAGAAATGAGCAAATGAGGAAGAATAATACCTTAGGACCAGGGGTGGGATTCAAATTTTTTAACAGGTTCTGTGGGCGTGGCTTAGGTGGAGGGCATGGCTTGGTGGTCATGTGACTGGGTGGACATGGCTTGGTGGTCATGTTATTGGCTGGATGTGGCCAACTCAATATCACTCACATTGAGGCACGCATCTCCTCACCTGGCCTATCGTGACTGTGGGAATGCTGCAACAGTCGTAAGTGTGAAAATGGTCATAAGTCACTTTTTTCAATGGTCACTCCACACAAGCAAAGTACCAGCAAAGGAGGGGGGGGAAATTCCAGAAAAGTTCCTGAGGCAGGAAGTCTAGTCCTGCCAAGAATGTAATAAGGGTTAACGGAGAGGCAGTTTCTGTAAGCAACACCAGAATGTTTCTTTCCTGCCTTCCTTACAGGATTAGGCCAGTAATTTCTTCTAACAACTGGTTCTCCGAACTGCTTAGAATGTTAACAACCAGTTCTAGCGAATAGGTGCGAACTGGTAGAATCCCACCCCTGTTTAGGGCAGAATATTTCACAGAGAAGGTAGGGGCTTGTTACCATTAACCATTGTCTGCCTTTCCAATGGGAGCCAAGGACTTTGAACCAGTAATTCAGAATCTTGATCAATAAACTCATAACATAACACGTCAAAAGAAAATGCATTCTACGTGTTGCCTGAGAATGAGTGAAGATTGAAAAATATTTTTCTTCTAATGGCATTCTCGTATTTTTCATAATATAGAATTCTGCTCTGATTTAATAGCAATGGAAGCCATTTGTCCCACACATGGCTAGTATTTTATGAGGAACAATACTGTATGCTGAAATAAACAAGTCCACAAACCAACGTACTTAACTTAGATTGTAATGTTCACTTAATTTCAAATATTTGGCCTCATAGGTTTGTAATGTTTTTATCTAGCTCAGGGAGGAAATTGTATTGGGTTCAAAAATCTGTCTGCCTGAGATTCAGCCGCCTGCCATTTTTCAAGTCTGCCCTTCAGCAAGATGTCAGCTAAAGGAAGCAACAGATCAACAGTGAGGTTATGCTTGTTTTCATGTCATTTTCATTCAGGGTTTTACATTTTTCTTGAGAGCTTTGGAATTTTAACAGGATATGACAATTTCATCTGGTTCTTATTCTGATTGTATTTCGGAAGTCTACATTATATCAGAGTTTCCTCAGCTAACCTCCCCCCGCCCCCAAACAGCATTTTTGGTTCTTTGGTACAAGGGTGGATATCTTTTTGGCAGTCTATCAAATCTCATCCGCAGTTCTTTTTACACCAGCTGGAAATGAACAGGCTGCTCTTTATATTGCTTTATGTGGCAGATCAGATGTATAATTTCTGTCTCTCTCTCTCTCTTCCTTTCAAGGTAAACTATCTCTTGAAGAGTTTATAAAAGGTGCCAAGAGTGATCCCTCGATTGTGCGGTTGTTACAGTGTGATCCAAGTAGTGCAAGTCAGTTTTAATGAAACTCTGGACAGTTTGCAAAGAAAATTACTGGCTTGTTCAAGCTTTGCTCGTAATGGATGCCTTCAACCATTCCTCATTGGTTAGTGGATGAAACTCCGTGGCTGGATTGTCTCTGTATCCAAGTGAAAAAAAAAAAAAGAACCTCACTCTTCTCATCAGCTGTGATATGACTTTTCTTTCCAATATCCCAGTTCTGTTTTTCACTGCACATTATTGTTAGGACTCCCTGTACACATTGAGTGTAACCAAAGGGTGTGTTTACATGCAAGTTAGAAGAGGGGGAAATGGTATTCCTCTCGGTTAATCGAAATGGATGACTTTAGTAACTCCGAAAAGATACTCTATGTAATTTTGGTCTGCTGTGACATCAGCGAATGACAGGCAGTTTATATCCCAGAAAATCACTATGAAATGTGGAATAAATTAAGCAGGTTTTGTTTTTGTTTTTTAAAAAATGGCATGTCTCCAGTTTTCTTCTCAGTGAGGAAAATTGCTTGCGCTTACATAGTAGTGCAAGCAATTCTCATTGGGAAGAAAACTGGAGTCATGCAGTTTTAAAGAAACAGATATGCACATATAAAACATACACATACATAGTTATGTGTGTGTATGTTTGTGTGTGTGTGTGTGTGTATACGCACACATTTTACATTTATTTAGGTTATATTTAATATATGAAGTAGACTTCATCCTTCATTTCTTCTAGTTGTCCATGGTTATTATTTTTTTAAGAAAAGGATTATGATATTTATACATAGTCAAGTTGCCTTTAAGGCACTGCATGATTAGCTGTTTGTGGGTATATCACTGTTTTAATTACTGGTTACAACACTTTGTCCATTTTTACTGTGCATTGTTCCAGCATTTACTGTGTTTAATGAAGACTAAAGAGGAATCATTCTGCTTCCGTGTTTCACAGTGAAGCGCCACTCACAATGGCTACAACATTTTAACAGGCTTTTGAGTGAGGTGAGATAATTTGACGAGCATTTACTATGATCCTCCTACCAATTTATGGCTGTCCATCTCTGTTAATAGTCTTGTGCATTCCAGTGTTATTTAATATCTGCCTAATGCCAAGAAATGCTGATTGAAATAAAGGTGAATTTTCTTGTTGATCTATGTTCTATTTTAATTATTGGATGCTTGGAATTTTGCACGCAGCATGATTTCTTTCTAGAAAACAATGAAAGGATATTTCAAAGAATCAGTTTGAAAAGAAGTGTTCACACAAGTTGCATGTGAGTGGATATCACTCCATTCTTCCACAGATTTTTCTAACAAAAACATTGTTCACTGACTGGCCACAACCATAGGAGTATCTTGGTTTTGTGATCATAAAGAATTTTAAATGAATATCAGCCTAGCTCAGCAATATTATTTTTATTCAGAAATATAGCTAGAAGTTCTGTTCTTTTTCTTGTTTTGAAACAGATTTTTTAATATATATAAAACAACATTACATATCCTGACATAGATATGTTATAAGAATTGTAATAAGGTGAAAGATAGTACCGGCAGTGGAGCTCTGGACTCTGGCTGGACAGTAAAACCTATCAAGTGAGAATGAACAGCACGAAGATAGTAAAGCCAACTTCTAAGAATCCAGATCTCATCCCTAAAAATGCCCTTCTTTCATTCAGCCTGAAAAATGTTATGGCTGTTGTACAAAGGTTGTAGTACCTCACTTAAAAATAAATATAAAGGTTTCATTGGGTGGAGTTCAACTGCTGGTGATTAAAATGGACACACTGATATATTTTTATTTTGGCAGTATAATATGGAAGTGATTTGCCATTTCCTTCTTCCAGCTTCATTTTTCATGTGACATAAAAGCCAGCTGGGTGACTTTGGGCCAGTCCTCCTCTCTCAGCTCAACCCACTTCACAGAGTTGTTGTGGGGAAGATAGGAGGAGGGAGGAGAATTAGGCATACTCATCGCATTGAGTTATTTTTAAAAATTATAAAGGTGATTTAAAAAAAAATATCAAATGCATTTTCCATGCAGCTTAAAACACTGATAGAAGAACAAGAACTGTTTCCATAGCGTTGCCAAGAAAACAAAATGGCTGTGCCATGAGATCAAGGTCAGCCAAGAGTGATGCAAAAATACATGAGCTTTCTTCCAGGTAAACCTGTTTAAACTTGAGCCTGTATTATCTGAAACGGGTTATTGGCTGTTGATGTCATTTCCATGCTGCTTTGAGGTACCCTGTCTGTCAGCAAATTCAAACTTTGAGTTTTGTGTAGAGCAGGGCTGTCAAATTCCCGGACTACACGCTGGCCACGCCCACACCCAGTTTAATGAAGGGGGTGGAAGTCCCAATATGTCACATGATATTGCCGTGACAATGTGAGTTTGACATCCCTGGTGTAGGGTATACAACACGCAGCATGAAATTCCATCATGCTAATCTATAGCAGTTGAATGGGAATCAGCCAAAGCTTGCATGGATGAGAGAGGCCTCATTCATCTGCAGAAGATTTAGATTGAGTAAACTTTTTCACGTGTTGAACCCTTCATTCCTTCAGTCATGCATTCAATTCTATAGTTCCAAAATCTGTTCTGGAAAGCCTGAGAGGAGGAGGAGGAGGCTGGAAAGGGAAGAAAACTGGTGCTCCCCCTTCTCATAAAGAGACAGCTTTCTGCTGCCTGCCAAAAGCAGTATTTTCTGAAGAATTAGCACTTAGAATCACAGGTGTGTGTGTGTGTGTGTGTGTGTGTGTCCGTGTACAGACGCACTTATGTAAGTCCTTGTGTTTTGCAACCAGACTTGAAAGCATTCTCTTTGAGGTCAGCTGTGAGTTTATGAAACATGTAATACTGGCCACTGACCTGTAGGAGACACTGTCGTACATATTACATGCTGGCTGGGCCTCCAGATTCAAATCTTGTTAAAGGGTTGAATATGGAGCATTTATGTGGAAGAAACCTACAGCCAGAAAATTCCAATAAAGATGAAACTAGCATAGTACCCACTACTGGTCAATAGTTGACATTTAGCGCCCACAATTTAACAGAAGGAACTTCTGTTAGGAGATCCAGAGCCATCAAAATAACAAAATTGTTTAATATGAGCGTATGTAAGAAAAAAAGGAAAGAGTACCTGCACAGCTTATATAAAATTGATAATTTATTTTGTAGTATGCAATATTCTGAATACTTGTTTAAAACTTAATACAGTAAGTTCTTTGAATAGGCCTCCTTAGAACTGGGAACTTTTGGCTTTTGAATGAAGTAAATCATTGTATTTCCTCCTATTTAATTAAGACAAAATTGGAGACAAGAATATATTATTGGCATGTGATTAGCGTGAGCTGCGGTGGCGCAGTGGTTAGAGTGCGGTACAGACAGAGATAGACAGTAACTGTCATAGAAAAAATGGCCACCTAATATAACAGGAAATTATCTATCCCATTGTATTCTATCCTGGAGAAGATGTATATTCAGTATTGGACAAGATGCAGTGCAAATAATGGACATAATATCACTCATTCCGTCATTCATTTTCTTGCCATGTTCACTAAAACAGGGATGGACAATGCACAATAAAGAAACAAGTAGTAACAGAATCTCATTCGGAAATAATCTGTACTAAACGATATTAAATCAGGTGCCAGTCCACAGTGACCGTAGAAGCTGAATACTCACTGTAATAAAATTGTTTTAAGGGACTATCAGAATACAGGGAACATTCAAAGACTAGAAGCAGCTCTAGGGTAACATATTCTATAATGTGGAGCCCATTGTAGAGCAAAGATAACCCTGAAAAGTATGCAGGAAAAGATATGGGAAATTAAAAGAGAAATCAGTCCTGGGAAAAAGAAGGAGAAATGAGACTCAAAATAATGCCCCTTGATCTTGTCTGGTATAAGGAGGGAATGGAGCAGAAGGAAGTTGTGGCAGGCTTTCAAGTTTCTGTTATACCCGACAACAATGACGTATCATTCCTGGAACATTTGCAATGTCTGTTTCTGGCACATCCTTATTTCGCATGGGCCTTCTGTTGATGTTCAGACCTTTAGGGCAAAATCATGCTTGGAAGGCAATCACCAATAGCAAATATGTTAAATTCCTAGAAAAACTTATGGCATTTTTATAAGTGCAGAACATTGCCTGAAATTCAGTTAATTAAGTAAAGGAATATGATGAGGTGCGTAATGATAGTTAACTATGCACGTGGCAAAGGGCAACCTCATCTTGTTCTGTGAACAATGGATTTTCATTCTAGTAGATCTGCATTGTGGAAAACCCTCCCCAGGGCTCTAAGCAATTCTAGTCCCTGAAACAGAAAAAAAAAACCACCAAGTATATATAATGTTTCAAACTGTAAAAGATGCAAGGATCTACAATGCATAAGAAAGGTGCTTTGCAACACATAAAAATTATATGTGGAAGAATTAAAGGACCTGCGTTTGCAAAGCACACACAGTTTCTTCATTATTGTTTTACAGACACTAAGACTCAACCATGGTATGTCTTCTAGATAAATGGAACTAGAGCTGCCTATCTTTGGATTCCTTGCCATTCAGACTGGTGATACTAGTCTGGAGAATAGAGAATGAATGAGAAGATGATTATTATTATTTTAAGTGTAAAGCAGACAAATATCTCTGTTATAGCAAAGTGTTCTTTTTTCAATTCACAGATCAAGCAAATAGCTAACGAAAAGTTCAAAAGGTATCTGAATCTCTTGGCATCAATTAGCCATTAGTAAGATTGAATGAACAAGAAAAATCAGCTAAAGCTTTAATAATGTACTGATACCGCTATCATTTTGAACTGGATCCAGAAAATGAAAGCCAGTTAAAATGGAAAAAATTGTATTTTATGCCCTTTAAAATCAATAGTAGTAAATGTACTGGTGATACTATGGGAACCAATCTTAGATTCATATTTCAAAGGCATCTTCAATTAAAGCACATTGAAGTAGTTTAATGCAGACGATGCTACCCAGAACACAATGCTTTTCTATAGGATACAGGAAAAGTCATTTATAGATATATATATATATCTCTGGCTCCCTCTTGCTCTCTCGCTCTCTCATACACAAAATACCACATAATATGAAAATCACAAATTGAAGCAACAGCCTCCCAATAACATTTTCAGAGAACTTGCAGCCTTCAGGTTCAGCGAGCACCACCTGAAAATGATACCACACAACCCTCATGGTGGCAATGTAATTCAGAGATTATGGGTCATCACATTACAAACAAATGCTAAGAGATCCAGATCATGTAGCAAGGCTGTTTCCTCCTTGTCAAACACCAAGGATTAAATTAGAATAGTCAAAGCTGAACCCAAACTCAGTCTGAAGCAAGTTGTAATATATCTAGATGATCCTTCAAACTGAGTTTTATGATGCATTTTAATACCTTGCCAAATGAGTGATAAACTAGAAGTTTAGATGGAGATATTTCTGAATCTGACGTAAAGATTTCCCCAACTCTTTGGAGAGTTTGGATGCAAACTTCTTCAGACCTGTATTTCTTCAGTTCATGTATTTGAAATAGTATGCTATCATATCCTCTGTTATCACAGGTCAAGACTGTGTGCCTTTTCTTTGCAGTTATTAGGTATTGAGACAGATGGTACATGGTATGTTACCACCCTGGGTGTTTAATAAAACCTTTAATGAAAACAATAAATATTGCCTGTTAACTGTTCTGAGACTGGAACTAAGCTCAAAGTTTAACTGGTAAAATAATTCTCCCATGCTATGTACTGATAGTGATGGCTTAGCCAAGAAACATCCTAGTATATTTTCATGGAAAATTAATCTGTTCAGCTTTAAGATGTCACATCAAAGCCACTACCACTAGTGTCCCAATAGACCTTTAAGACTTTATAACCACCTTTTCCACCATCCACCTCTTTTCGATTTAATTCCCTGGACATTGTGGATTATTAAATTCTTTCCTGTTAAGAATGTATTTCGTGGAGAGAGAAAAATGAAGACATAAAGTCAGTGGATTGGAATCTTTTTCTTAATGCCTTTCATTTTTCCCAGCTATCAAACTATGTAGGCACTATGTTTGCAAAATACTTCAGTAATGGAAGACATCAGTGCATACACTACAGCCAAGCAAACCACTACAGACTAATGCACTCTTGCATACTCATAATCAGTGATTATGATATGAGGAATGAGCCATCCTAAAAAAACACATCAGGAAAAAAAACTGCCTTGCAATTGATATGTTCTTTTGGGAAGTCACACATTCAGTTGCAAATCATCAAGGGTGAGACAACCTACAGTCATAGCTATATAGATCATCCTGATGCAGACTAGTCCAGGAGGCCCAGCATGTTTTTCAAAACCCAACCTTTCAATGTAATTTGAATTATTTGTACAAAGGGAGGGCTTCTTATACATGTACAATTTTAATACATTGTATTTCTAAATCATCCAGCAGTAATATTCTGATGAAATGATGAGGTTATTTAAAATACTAAAACCATCAATACATACGCAGCAAATGATGTGATTCAATAATTGTTTCCAATAAAAAATGGCAGTATTGTTAAAATTGACCAAACATCTTTCAAAATAGTGTTTCCGTGGGGTAACTTAAGGCCACAAACTTGTTCCCCCTTACTTAATGTGTTCACACCAACATCAATTCATTCAGGGCAGTTTGTTGGCCATAATAAGATGTATTCTGTGACTAAGACAGACACCCAATCTCAATCGTGAAAAACTCTAGAATATTTTGGCTAGCTGACTAAGTGGGAACCTGATGGCCATCCAAAGGGAGAGTTAGATAGGTAGTGAATAAAACCACTGCTTGGAGTCTAAAATTACTGACTGCATAACTTAAATCCAGATCGATTTAAAACAAAAAACCCACAACCCTCAACCTTACAAGAGAGTAACGTGAAACACTACATTTGAAACCACCTCTCTGAATAATCTATGCACATGGTTTTTGTCTCTTTCAATTACCACCTTCCAATATTAGTATTTTGGTAGTTTGGGTTTATTCCTTTCAACTCATAATAATTGTAGCTGAGCTTTTCAGCTTTAGTTACACTTGGTCATAATCTTCTCTCCTTCCCTTCCTCCTTTCATTTTTTAAGAGTTTCCCATTATTTTAGAATGTATGTTTCTTGGAACTAGGGATTTTTACTGCCTGGGAAACTCTCTAAGACAGAGGAAGCCACTGTCTTTAAGCTAACAGACGCCTTTCAGATTGGGAGAACATGTCATAAATAATTTCACAAAATACCCATTCTATACCCACTGGAAATTCTGAATCATTTTCAAATTCCCTTTAAAGAGAATTACTACAATGCTGGCATGTGGTGATAAGGGCATGAGGTCCTGATGCCAAGGCTTCCTTGTCTAGAAAAGTTATAAATCCAGGAGAGCCACCAAATTCTTTATGGAAAGAAGAACCCATCCAGAACCCACAACATGCAGAGAAATTTAGCTCAGACCTTGAGAAGGCAACGGGGAAAGTAAAATTGTGACTCACCCCTGGGAAATGTGTACGCCTGAGAAAGAAAAAAACTCTACCTTTCCTTTCTTGCCTTTTAAAAGGGAACTTTCAAGATTCTGTTAATATATCCTATACAATAAAGTAGCATCCCCGTGGTGTTTTTCACCTGGTTTACCTGCAAAGTTTGGCACAATGGAACTGTCATGGAATCGGAGGGTCCCTGGAATGTTCCTATCCACTCAGAACCTCAGTAACTCCAGACGTTGGGTTAGGGCAGTGGTGGCTAACCTTTTTGGGCTCCTGTGCCAAAAGTTGTGTGCACGCTTTCATGCTCGCGCTCCAGCACCCAGAAGACAATGTGCGCCCCCCACATCCCCTACGCGTGCACACACAATCCCCATCCCCACCCCGCACTGCGCCCTACAGCTGATTTTCAGCCAGTTTGAGGCCTTTTTCAGCCTCCCAAAGGCTTGAGGGAGGCTTCTGCAGGATTCTACAAGCTTTGTAGGCCGAAATCTAGCCCCGTTTCATCACTTCCTGTTTTTCCGAAAATACCGGAAGTGATGAAACAGGGCTAGATTTCGGCCTACAAAGGTTGTAGAAGCCTGCAGAAGCCTTCCTCAAGCCTTTGGGAGGCCGAAAAAGGCCTCAAACCAGCCAAAAATTAGCTGTGAGGCGTGCACATGCACAGTGAGGTAAGTTTGCCTGCAGCTCGTGCGCCAGCATAAATGGCTCTGCACGCCACCTGTGGCATGCATGCCATAGGTTTGCCATCATGGGGCTAGAGCATCTCCAGCTAGGCCTGGATGATGTACAATTGAGTACTGTCAGCTTACTAAAGATAGCTCATGTCAAATGAACACCTGAACCCTTCTTGTGGTGAGTGTCAACCCTGAAACTGGCCTAACTGAGGCCATTTTGAGACTTCAGTGCTGACACACTGGAGAAGAGGGCTAGGGAGGAGGAAATAGAGGTAGTTGGGGTGTTGTAGTCAAAACAAAATATTTTCTCTTGGGAATCAAGGACA